AATCAGAACTCTTTGTTTTCTGTATTTATACTGCGTGAGTCGACCTTGTGTGGTGCACGAGGAATGCGTTCTATGCAGCTGTTGCACGTGCGCCAAGCTTCGTCGCGAGCTGACATTTACAATGCATGGTACACGGCTTTTCATAATTTCGTTGGGTCCTAATGAGTGAGTAAGTATCGTTTTACGCCGCTTTTAGCAATATTCCAGCAATATCACGGCGGGGGACACCAGAAATGGGCTTCACACATTGTACCCATGTCGGGAATCGAACCCGGGTCTTCGGCGTGACGAGCTAACGCTTTAACCACCAGGCTACCCGACCGCCCCCGTTGCGCCCTAAACTAGTAGTTATCAATCGCTTGCATATTGTCAATACATGCTGACGGGGGTAATATATATCTTACCTGATTTCTATTTCTCGTCAAAGGTTTATCTAATTGCTGTAAATATGAACATTGTTGTAGGTAACCTGCTTTAACATAATATTATATACATATTATTTTGAGCTTTAAAGGATGATGCAAAATTATGAAAATACTTAATAGTTAATTCACACGATTCCTTCATGTGCCGCCGTAGCTGAGGCTGACAATTACACGTTTTTAAATCAAACGATGCGGACTCGAAGCCCGCTGGCTACACATGTTTTCAGAAAAAAAATATAAAAAAAATATTTACTTGTCAAAAAATGTAAAAAATAGTTCCGTCCATTCCAAGAGGACATTAATTCAAATGCTTGTTCAAGATAATGTATAGTTGACAAACAACTCTCCATTCCTTAAAAAAGTAATGGATCGTTCAAACAATAGAATGACGTCACAGATGTGTTTTAAGCCCGGAGAATAAACGTCAGTTATATAGGCAACAATGAGATTCAAATCCTATCAAATATTTTTTTTTTAAAATGCGAAATCATTCACAATAAATTCAGTTATTTTAGTTTCATTTTTCCACCTGTTTATGACAGCCTCCAGCCTCCATCGTGTTTGAAGAACTACAAGTGTGAGAACATTATATATAGCTCAGACGTCACATTCAGTGGAGTCGATAGGGAAATCACAGCTACGGGATTAAAAAACACAGCTGTAAAGAACAGATATAACAATTACTATTCGAGTGTCTGTCACATACCATTTATCTTACAGCCAGTTGTTTCAAAACGTATCTAACGAGCGAAAGCGAGTACACGAGCGCTGGCGTTGGTATTAAACACTGTGTAATACCAGTTTATTATTATTATTAAACAGTGGTATCTTCAACGGGTGTGTATTAATATAAAATACTAAACTCGCCTCGGTGTCATACGAATTTTATGAAACTCGTGAACAGTTCTGGTATCTGATGAGCAAAAGCGAGTAATTTTTTTTGGTTATATTTGTTACTTGACGTTTATACGGTTTTTCAAATTTCACTGTCGTGTGTCGTGTGAAGCAGGCATCTACGCGATCCAGAGTATAATTCATTTGAGATTAACAGAATAAAACTTCAAACATTCAAATTGACACGTATTAATTATTTGTAATGTAACAATGATTTGATATGGATTACAGTCCGGAATATGAAATTGTTTGCAAGTCTCACTAGGACCATTTGACCCATGGCATACAATTAGTAAATGCAAGCGATTGGTAAATCGAAACTTCATTAAGTTTTCCCCTACTGTCCATTCATTCTGTGAGATTAACTACTAACTGGGTACTTAGATATTGCTAATGGCCCGTATAAACTTGTACTTGACCTTCTTAAAGGAGATTTCAGTAATTCCCTCTGTTGAATTCAGAAGGGCAGGGGACCCGTGAAGATCCGGAGTAGAATAGGTCTTCAGCAACCCATGCTTGCCGTAAAAGGCGACTGTGCTTGTCGTAAGAAGCGACTAACGGGTTCGGGTGGTCAGGCTCACTGACTTGGTTGATGCATGTCATCGATCCCAATTGCGTGTATCGATGCTCGTGATATCAATCACTGGATTGTCTGGTCCAAACTCGATTATTTACAGACCGCCGTCATATAGCTGGAATATTGCTGAGTGCGGCGTTAAACAACAAACAAACAAACCAAAGAAGAGCAGGGACAGAGTGGATGTAAACAGACATATTTCCCAATATTTTGATTTATCACATTTATTTTACATAATTAACGTTTCAAATTACAAAGACATACCTAAATGTTTGATAAACAATTGAAAATTGAAATTGACCTACTGGACATATCTTATTCCGCTTCGGGGTACGAGTGGTGTCGCAAATCGCTGTGCAGAGTTACTACCCCTAGGCGTTCCAGCTTCCTACAGTCGTAGGTTTGAATCCTGGTTCGCCCTGATCATGTTTGTTAGTTTGTCAGCACTATACTCGTGCTCGAGGATTTCAGTAAAGTGGTAAACGTTTACGAACTAAGCTACTTCGGGCTTTCTTCGGTTTTCTTCCCACATTAAACGGACATCCGTGAATACTGTTGAATCTGGTGTTAAATCCGTAATATATATATTTGTCATGGGACGCTGGTTATTGTTATTTCAAATTATTGTATTTTGGCAGGACATGCTTACCCTTTTCGCGATCACCTGGTGTCATCACTGATTTTCACTGCTATTTTTCCTATTACGTCCAAAGGAATATAATCGAGACTGGTTATTCTCTGGCGTTGACGTTTTATATGCATTTTACTAAAATATATATATCTGTCTGTCAGGAGCCTCGTATAGCGTTGGTTCGCCACCTCAAAGACCCCATCCTCGCCGGGATATGGCTGAAATATTGCTAAACGCAGCGTAAATAATAGCTCAAGCTCCCCACTTGTTCGCACTCTATACTTATTTACGAAGCATTAAGAACTATTGGGTCAACTATATCTCGTCGACCTGTTGGTGCAGTATTAAACTGAAAGGCCAGCGTTGTATATTTACTGTAGGGCGCTGGGGTAGCCTTGTGGTTAAAGCGTTCGTTCGTCTCGCCGCAGACCTAGGTTCCAATCCTCACATGGGTACAATGTGTGATACCCATTTCTGGTGTCCCCCGCTGTGATATTGCTGGAATATTGCGAAAAGCGGCGCAAAACCAAACTCACTCACTTATCATTACTAATGGATAGTTATTCGGAAGCACATGCTTGTGAAATAGTCATACTTATGGTTTTTGTCGCTTTTATTCAGATATATGTGTCATCCTGGTATATTCCGGTATCACTGCCAGGTTTAAAATGTTTCACGATAATCGACTTTGGTGCCGCCGAAGTAATTTCTTCGGATGTTCATTTATCACAACCGAAAATTATACCCTGCCCACAGCATGATAGGCATGAAGTTATTAAAAACAAAACCAGATAGATGGTGAGGTGAGGTGAGGTGAGGTGAAATGGGGTTTAACGTCGCGTCCAAGATTATTGCACTTATATAGCGACGTGCATGTACGTGTGTGTGTTTGTGTGGCTGCTTGTACTAGTCCGGACTGATGCCGATTTATAGTGCTAGCTCATTGAGATACCATGCCGCAGTTTAACATGAATACCCCACTCAGACACAGTATACTGACTCCGAACCGACCAGTCCTTGTTTTAGCCCCTTAATGCCGAGCGCCAGACAGGGTAACAACAAGTACCATCTTTTAACGTCTTTTGGTATGACGCGGCCGGGGATCGAACCCCGGACCTTCCGCTCTCCGGGCGGACGCTCTACCACAAGACCACGGAGGCGGTACCAGATAGATAATGCGAATGCCATTATTGATGTTCTAACAAACTAGTTGGTATGGAAATACACACTGCCTTTGTGCCAATGTGTAAAGTTACAAAATAAATCTATTGAAGAGACGAAAAGACCTTTTTTTCTGTTGATTTATAAAGCAGAGTTGCCCATTAGGACCCTTCTACGATCGAGCTTCTGTTGTAATTGAACACTGGGAGCTCAGGATGATCTGTAAGTGAACAGTAACGAGGAGCCAGATCGTTTTCCACGCAGTAGATGGCTTATTAGAACTGGAGTAAATCAGAGGTTTCTCCATCCTAATATATTATTTGTCATACGAATGCAATGGTTTAATGTTTGATTTCAATGTGCCCGGTGTGACGTGGTGGCTAAGGAATTGATGACTTTAGATCTCCAGAGAGAAGGTGCATTAATAAATATTAATTGATAGCTCGTACCAATAAGAGTCGGAGCCAGATCCTTTAGGGGTAGATGGGAAGGTGTATTTGTTTACCGATGGTGCAGTATTTAGCAACCTGACACCCAAGACACTCTACGTCCAGGCACTATGACAATGATGAAACTGAGACAATATTACCAGTTATTACTCTTTTCATAAACACGTCATTCAGATGATTCTTGGAGGACATATTCACCTATCGCTTGGCTGCTTGGTTCGTTTGTTTGTTGTTTAACGCCACACTGAGCAATATTCCAGCTACATGAAAGCGGTCTTGGCCAGACAATCCAGTGATTGACATCAAGAGCATCGATCTACGCCGTTGGAATACGATGACATGCATCAACCATCCATTCCTGTAACAGAAGGCCTGGACACAGATGCTATAACGGTCATTCATTGTTCCCCACTTTACCATCTTTATTATATATTTTCATTACCTTTGAAGTTGGATGTAAGGGTCAATGGAAGTGCAGTATTAAATGAGTATTTATTTAATTAGGTACAACTGCTTTCATGGAGCAAGGATTTAGGAATAATGCAAAATAACAATTTGGTGTCTGAATGACCTGGATAACATCACTTGATTCAAACTTTTCAATGAATGAATCGAACCTTACTGGGATTAATACACTGTTGATTGTCTCCGTTGTCAATGTTGACAGACACGCCATGTCCAATGTTAAACTTACAATGAGTTCATACATGATTTACACATCAAAAGCATTGCGGATTGAATAATATATGTTCAAACAGAGATTAGCCTAGCTATTAAGCCTGGAACTGATGGGAAAATGAGTGAAACCAAATGCTTTTAGTGTTGCATTTTCCGTCTTAACAACAGGAGGCACTTACGCTGTGATGGATGAACAGGTTTCAGTGACAGATTTGAAGAACATTTCTGGATATATATCTCCTCGAAACAATTCAGCCCCAGCAGAATTCTATGTTTCAGTTTGGATTCGAACTCCAATAATCTTCTCTGTGTCATTCTTCGTGATTACGTCCAATATTCTGAACATATCCATCCTCCGAAGAACCAGGACCATACCTCACATTTCCAAACTGTGTTTGACCAACTTAAGTATTGCAGATCTGTCCGTGGGTCTGGTGACGTGTGCCCAGTGTGTTGTGTCTGCAGCTCTAGGCTACTGGCCCTACGGAGACGTGTGGTGTCAGATCGCGGGAGTGTCTCATGGGGCTTCAGGATGTGTCTCAATATGGAATCTGTCGTATGTCAGTATCGATCGCTACATTGCCCTTGTCAAACCGCTGCAATACCCCTCAATGGTGACAACCAAGAGATGCTACACTGTCCTGGCATCATGCTGGGTGTTTGCAGTAACAACCTTCGCGTCTGTCATCTTCACCAAACCAGACTTCATCTACTACAGGTTCAGCTTCACTGAAGGTATTTGTGGTTTACACTGGGAGTACCCCCTGTTTTGCATAATCACTGGGATGGCCATTCCGTTTTCATCTGGCAGTGTCATCGTGTTCACAACAGTCAGTATATTGAGAACGCTCAAAACGTCTGAATTTGTGACTGCTGGGAGTTCTACATCCAGGCAACGAACCAGGAGGGACGTCAAGGCTGTCAAAATTCTCAGCATCACCGCAGGGATGTTCTTCATGTGTTGGGGCCCCTACACTGCCTCAGTTATAATGTCTGCGTTTGACCCCAGCATACACACCCCGAAGGAGCTTCAGTTTACGTTTCTGTGGTTGGCCAACAGCAACAGTTTCATGAACGTCATCATCTACTCCGCCGTCTACGAAGCCTTCCGACATGAGGTCAAGGTTATTCTCGTACCTGCTGCCTGCTTCCGGCGGAGAGACCCGGATGCACACTCATCTATGACGAGTATAGCATTAAGCAGTCAGACCACAATTCAACGAACGGACAGGTCTGACACATTCTGATTATATCATTCCAAGGAATAAAGGATTCATTGACATGATGATAATCACAGGTTGTATGTGTCTTTTTTAAGTACAGTAAACTACGTTTATAACGAACACGCTTATAACGAACTGACGGATATAACGAACTTACTTTTTGGTCCCGACTACTTGCTGTAGTCATGCTGTATATGTACTTATAACGAACTACGGTTATAATTAACTAAAATTAGTAGTCCCTTAGAGTTCGTTATAACCGTAGTTTACTGTATGCCAGTACTTATGATACAGTAACAATATTGTCATCCAAGAAGGAAGCCATCAGGATCTTAGTAGGCCATACATGTGCTTTATATAAGTGATGACATGTAAACAATATGCATGCTCTATGTTTACAATAAAACACTGCAGGGAGAATAAAGCCCCGAGTGGTTTATTAACCCCGCAGCGTTTTATTGTACGATACACAACGACCACGAGTCGTTTATTTCTTATAGGTGATATCAACATTATGGACTGCCTCTATAAGGATGTTGGTCAAATGTACAAACTTTAAATATATTTACCCAAAATTTAAATAATAATGACTCTTTGAATAGAATCCGACCCCAGAAATGTCGGACAAGTCCATTCTAACAGGTGGGTTAGGTTTCCTGCATATTCTCACAATTTATAGCGTAGATATCTTTTATTATACTTATGTATTATACTTATTATCATTTATTATACTTATGTAACTCTGTCTGTTTGCCTCACACACAATAAACTCCTTGAAATCGTGTAATACTGTTTTGAAAGTTTTCCATGAGATGACTTTGAAAGTAAATTTTACTAATGTTCAGTGCCTGCCTATGTATGGTTCCTAAAACAAGGTGAGGTGAGGTGAAATGGGGTTTAACATCGCGTCCAAGATTATTGCACTCATATAGCGACGTGCATGTACGTGTGTGTGTGTGTTTGTGTGGCTGCTTGTACTAGTCCGGACTGATGCCGATTTATAGTGCTAGCTCACTGAGATACTATGCCGCAGTTTAACATGAATACCCCACTCAGACACAGTATACTGACTCCGAACCGACCAGTCCTTGTTTTAGCCCCTTAATGCCGAGCGCCAGACAGGGTAACAACAAGTACCATCTTTTAACGTCTTTTGGTATGACGCGGTCGGGGATCGAACACCGGACCTTCCGCTCTCCGGGCGGACGCTCTACCACTAGACCACGGAGGCGGTCCCTAAAGCACGGTTGATACTAGCTGTTAATTCGTGAAGGGACCAAATATTATATGGCCTGCATGTTTACACGCATTCCGTTGCTGAACATGGATAAAGGCACTTTTCAATCATGAATTGTCATCTCAATGAAAATCTGTCATCTTCCCCAATCCCTCCGTGTAGCGTGAACACTGTGATTCTCCATGTACCTTAAGACCCGTGAAGATCCGGGGTAGAATAGGTCTTCAGCAACCCATGCTTGCCGTAAAAGGCGACTGTGCTTGTCGAAAGAGGCGAGTAACGGGATCGGGTGGTCAGGCTCGCTGACTTGATTGATGCATGTCATTGTGTCCCAATTGTGTGGATCGATGCTCATGATGTCAATCACTGGATTGTCTCGTCCATACTCGATTATTAAGTGACCGCCGTCATAGAGGTGGAATACTTCTGAGTGCGGCGTAAACAACAAACAAACAAAGCAAAAAGCATATAAGATCATGTATCAGATCTATTGCAGAATACACCACACATGGGTATATTATAGGACGCGGCAGTCACCCTCCAGGTGAATAGAGTCTGGGTAAGAATATACGAGGGGTGTTCATTAAAGAATTCCCCCAAACCACGTAGGGTTATCATATTTTGTTGAAATTTGACATGTTTAATGATACAAGTATCTATGGGTTATGACTGAATTTGCAGCACCGAACTATTAATCTTACCACTTTTACAGGTGTTATGATCGAGTAGGGTGTGACAATGGAGCCAGTAGAATACCGAGCAGTGATTAGGTTTTTATATTTGAAAGGTCGCACACCAAAAGAAACTTTCGATGAAATGAAAGCAACTTATGGGGAAGATGCCCCATCATATGACGTTGTTAAACACTGGCATCGCCAGTTCAATTTTGGTCGGACATCTGTGGAAACAGCTGCCATTCCTGGTCGCCCCCATTCAGCCATTGATGAGGACACTATCCATCAAGTGGAGACCGCCATTTTGGCAGACCGATGTATAACTGTTCGCCAGTTAGCACAAGATGTCAAGATCAGTGTAGACAATTTGAACATGCATAAGGTGTCTGCACGATGGATTCCCAGGTTGCTCACACCTTTCCAAAAGCAGGAACGAGTCAATTGCTCAAAGGGATCTTTTGGACATGTGCCCAAAAAAACAGGCAAATTTTTTTGACAGACTTATCACACAGGATGAAACATGGGTCCATCACTATGATCCTGAGACTAAAGTTCAGTCGATGCAATGGAAGCATGTGGAGTCACCACCCCTAAAGAAGGCACGTGTCCAACCCTCTGCAGGCAAGGTCATGCTCACGGTGTTTTGGGACCAGCACAGAGTAGTGATGATGGATATCTTGGCAAAGGGTACCACAATTACAGGAGCTTATTATGCTTCACTGCTGCGGAAATTGCGGGACGCTATCAAGCTTAAGAGGCGTGGCATGCTGACCAAGGGTGTCCGTCTCCTGCTCTCATGTTGCCCAGACAGAAGCGCGGTCCTGTGGCTATGAAATCCTTCCACATCCTCCTTACTCTCCTGACCTTGCACCATCTGACTTCCACCTCTTTCCAACCATGAAGTCATTTTTGAAGGTAAACGTTTCACAGATGATGAAACACTGATTTCTGAAGTCAAGTCCTGGTTTGAGACGCAAAATGAGGATTTTTACAAGCGAGGTCTCCATAGTTGCATAAAACGATGGGAGAAATGTGTAACTCTTGGTGGTTCCTATGTGGAGAAAGACTAATACCTATGCCAAGTTTCATTCCACTAGGTCCATCGGAAGTGGGTCAGGGGAAATCTTTAATGAACACCCCTCGTAGGTCCCCAGGAGCCTGGTCGGAAGAGGCGACTTAAATAGATAGGGTGGTCAGGTTGGTCGATTTGCATGTCACCCTAGCCCAGTTGCATGGCTCGATGCTCATCATGTCAGTAACCGGATTGTCTGGTCCAGACTTGAATATTAACAGACCGCCGTTATCCAGCTGGAATACTGCGGCGTTTAACAAACAAACAAAATCAATACATTGGTAAATGCATCCTGCGACTATAAGTTCTCATGACAGATATTGAGAATGAAATCATTTCTTCCGAAAAGGAAAGTTCAGCTCGTTCCTAGCATTTGAAGGAACAACAGATAAATAAATAATGTGGCAATATCAACCTTCGTATTGGGTGTACAAACATTAAATATTGGGTGCGTCAGCGATAGATGTTGGGTGTGTAAACGTTACTTATTGAACCACATGCCATGGTCGACGTGAAGTGTGATCTACGTCATGTGTGGTCTACGTCATGTGTGGTCTACGTAATGTGTGGTCTCCGTCATGTGTGATCTACGTCATGTGTGGTCTCCGTATTGTGTGATCTACGTCATGTGTGGTCTATGTCATGTGTGGTCTACGTCAGATTCCGTAACTTAACATTCCAGATCAAGTTTACTGAAAAACTTAAACACACAAACGAAAAATGAAATCGGCCTATATCCTCTTGATTTATCCTGTTGATATTATCAACTTCTCAAGATAACACGAGGAGTTGTTTCGCTGATATGGCCTAGTTGTGTACCTGCGCACAGTGTACCGTAATGCAGCGTTTAGTGTGTTAACATTTAATGTCGCAAATATACCTTGTCCAACATGAAGGTAAAATACGTTTTACACTGCTGGTAGATTTCTTTGAAAATGTCAAAAAGAGTGTATTCGTCGTGAGAAATCTTCTCTATTTAACAGAGATATTGAACTGTAACACATGTTATATATGGGATATCACTTTCTTAGTAAAGTGCAGATTCTCGTACTTTTTTTGGAGTTGAGTCCCGTCCGGGATTCGAACCTACACTGCCAGAGCGGGGAACTCTATGTAAAGTCAGCGACCTAACCCACTCAGCCACCGAGGCTTCCACAAAAATGAAAGTCCGACAACTGGAAGTCTAGATCACGTACTTTGTGTACCCCTCTGACAAGTGTAAATTGGCAAGGCTCCCATGGCCGAAAGCTTTGAACACACAATGCCATTTAGAAAGTGGTCACATGTAACAAATGTTATATTAGGGATAACACTTACTTACTAAAGTACAGATTCTCGAACACTTTTTTATTATTATTTTTATTTTTATACGTGATCTAGACTACCAGTTGTGGGTTAGATCGCTGCTGGCGATTAGGCGCGGTGGGTTCTCAATAGCCACACACACACACACACACACACACACACTCACACACACACACACACACACACAAACACACAAAAGTAGGAGAATCTGTACTTTACTAAGATAGATAATGAAATGCATCCACCGCCGCGGTTGTTTCTGACATAAAGGGTATACTGTGGTATCTAGGTGATGATAACATTCAAACCTTTCACGTTGACCCACATACACGTTATTGCCAAACGAACTCATTATTGACCTACATACTCATTCACGATAGTCAACAGCTACGTTTCTAAGAATTAAAGTACCATCCTAATTCCAGGAAGGCAAGAAAGGGAAAGTACAGTTGCCCGTACCATGCCTATTTTACAAGGCCACGCTATCGATTTAAGTTCATAACAGTTTGAGAGTTAACACTGGGGCACCACAGGCCCTTGGGACGTTGCTTAAATATTTCAAGATAAAAATTATATACCGGACGTTAAACATGCACTGTGTGTAAAGATATAATAGGTCAGTGTATTTGACAATATTATTCGAATCATTAAGGAGCTGGAATTGATTTTATTGATACCTAGAAACGAACAAATCGTCACGTTTAATGCACTGTTTCAAAAAGGGAGCTTACTGTAA